TTAGTTTTCCCAGTTTAGTTCTAGTCTAGTCACGCCATCCCTGCTTTGTTTGTACACTTTGTTTTCAGCCATAATAAAGGCTCGCTTTTGTTTTACTCCACTCCTGCATCCTCGCTTGTGTTCGCACCTGGGTCCACCATACACATTCCCACACGGTCTGCCTCCGCAGACCGCGACAAAAGGAAAATAAGGAAAATAAGAAAAAAGAAATAGACACAGTGGGTGTCTTATAGTCTTGGTGTTACAATAACGAGGCACTTTTAAATGTGTAAAAGTAATTCTTTCAGCCAGAAGAGATGGAGGTTATTTTTCAGTACAGTTCATGAAATCTGTAAAATATATAGAATCTCTGCCTGTCAAATAAATGTAATTGCGTAAAGTCAACATACTGAGTAAAGGCTTCGCCTCTGAATTCTACTAAATTCATGCATAAGAAGGAAACAATGAGAGCATATACACTGTGTACATTATGTCTGCACTCAGTTAAATGTACTTAAGCTTAATTCCATGAATGTATTTAGGTAATTCACTACAGTTTATATGATTTGTGTCATTTCTAAGTTGTTTTCTCTTTTCTCCACAGCTGGAAAAAGATCAGAAAGTTAAACAAGAAGAACCAGAGTTCATCCAAGTCAAAGAGAGACTGAGGAAGACTGCAGTGCCCTGTGCAAGGGCAAAAGAAGTGTGACCGTTTTATAACTACGTGTGTGTTTTGTATTCACAGTCGGTGCAATTGACTGTTGGGAATAACTGACCTGGTGAAGGATTCTTCTGCTATAAATAGAATAGATAGATAATACAGCTCAATGCTCATGATCGAGGCGACACCTTCTGGTCAAGTGGAGACACGTCATCACTGTGAATAGTGTCTTTTGTGTTTTTGTTTTTCTTCTCAATACTTTGGTTAAATGTGACTTAGAGCAAAACGTTCAGTAAAAAAAGAAAACTATAAAAAATTGTATTGTATACAGACATTGTTGATTCTTTTTTTCTCCAGCAGCACAATTTATTAGGTGTTTATTTTGTCCATTTAATCCATAATAAAACATTTTTTACATGCTTTCTATCTACATTCTTACTGTGTGCAGAATTTTTGACATTCACATTATTAGCTGAAAGAAGAACCTCATACCATACATACTGTATACCAGACGAGCAAACATGTACATTTGTGATTAATGTTACCACTGACAATTACTCTAGATCTGTAGATATGAAATATACTTTAAATACTTTTTAATCAAACGAATTTGATCGTGGTTATTTTAAAAGTTGTAATTTTGTAGTATTGAGATTGGCGAGTTAAGAAGCACCGCATTTAAAAAAGTGAATGCATTGCCTTTTGCAGACTATTTGGAATCAGCACACTTTACATTTCTACAGTTTCACCTGAAATCTTTCAGAAACCTGGTTATTATATTATGACAGAACACACAATGCATAGACAAGGAAGTTTTATTTCAGTTTCAGCAATCATATCTCTGTGGGTACAAATCTTATTTTCTTACATCTTGTTCAATATCCCATGATGCATTGCATCCATACAGTTGTAGCTCAAAACAGCTTTTACAAAAAAGGATATACAATATATACTTATATTTATATTTATATATATAATATACACGTGTTTCTTTATGAATTTAGATGTGTTTGTAATGGGTAATATAAGCTTTAAAAAACACAGCCAAGTGGAAACAAATCCCAGGAAAGGTTGAACAGAAGGTCATTACCAAACATATAATAGCCAGTTTCTCAAAGTCATCAACACTGGCTATCTTACAGTTAACATTAAGCCCTTCAAACACAGTTTGCATATTTTCCACAATTACAGTCATGTAAATCCAGAGTGATAGCCTTCTTTTACTGTACTATATGTATCAATAACAAAATGAGGGGAAATAATAATACGAGTGGGGGAAATAAACAGGTTTAAATTCAACTAAAGTGGACTGCTTGCGTACTAATGTAACACAACACAACAAGTGTCAGGATTTAAGTAATTCTAGCAAGCTGTTGGAGGGAAAATGCTTTGTCACACTCCTTTTCTGTTTTAAATCTCTCGAAGGCCGTCCTTCACCTGAGTCATACATTTAAAAAAATGATGACATGCTTGATCTGTATCTTTAGTAAAGCATTCCAATTTCCCTGTATGGCTTTAGTATTTTGGGCCTTTTGCTCTGGAGGAACAAAGCTTGTACACTGGCAGACAGGTGATGCACACAATGGCACTGATGTGTTTTTTCCCCCATCACTGTCTAGATATCAGCTAGTAATGATTTGTTGGAGAGATTCAACATAAGTAATAAAAGCAAAAAAAACAACCCAGAACGATTAAAAGAGAGTCCAGATGGAAATAAACATAGTACAGGAGAATTGTCACTCAGGTAGAGACTTGACCATCACAGTCAATGCAAATGATAAGTCCACTGTGCTGTGTTGTATTGTGTTAACAACATTACTTCTGGTGTTACTCACTTCACATTATATATCTCAAAATTACAGTATTACATCTTTTTTTTTTTTCAGTACAACAGAGTAATAATAATCATGTGTGTTTATACTAATTGATCATCATTCATGTAAACATATTGAACCAGGTCATGCAAACAGTAGACCAAAACTTCTTCCACTAGAGGTGCACAGCACAAAGCAGGCGGAGCGCGCAGACTGAGATCCCTCTGGAGCCAGACCTCGAGACTGACAGCCGGCGGACATTTAGACACTTTGTCAGAAACAAAACAGGGAGGATGAACATGATATGGTTATGTTTGTTTTCTTCCCACTTGTTGTGGATTCTCTGTATGCTTTTTCTAACATGACGAGTGCCAATGGAGGAAGGTGAGATTACTGTGATTTCCAGACTTTTGGGGATCTCAGTTTGAGCCTCAGATAACAGAACAGCCATAAAACAAACAAACAAACAAAGAAAAAAAAAACAAAGAAGTCTCCTTTTGATATTCGTACATTTCAGTGTTTTCCCTAACAAAAAGCATGCAGACACTTCAGGTCAGAATGACCCTTCACAAACCCAGTCTGAGCCAGAATAGAGTCCATAACCCCAGAATCACCCTTCACTTTCAATTATCTCCTTTGCAAATAGGCTTTAAACAAAAGAAGTGAATACTTATTTTTTTTAAAGACAGAAACACTAAATAGTGACAATGTGAGGGGGGAAAAGGGGTTAACCAAACAGAAATAGATAGGCAGGTGAAATCAGCAGTGAAGACACAGCTTGAGATTTAACTAAACAGCTACTTGGTCGATGACTAGACTGAGTCATATTGATGGGTGAAGAGTATAAAGACATGCAGAAGGAGCTTTCAGTACTCTTTTCATTAGCTTTTTCCCCCCCTGTCTGGCCAGATTTTTGGAGAAGGCTGCGAGAAATGTCTAGCATGTGGTCCAGATGGACGCCCATTGTAACTGCGATTAGAGGTACTGCAGATGACAGATAATATAAGAGATACGTAATCAAAGAGAATACCTTTATCTCATCACAGATGAAAACTCTAGGCCCTTCCTGAAGCCAACCACTTATAGTACTAGCAAAATGTCAATGGCCACATTCACCTAGATTTTTTCAGCAGCGTGCTTTAATGGTGGTGGTGGAGGAGTATTGGCGGAGGGTTTCTGGACCAACATATTGCAAGATCCTTTAAAAGAGCCATGCCTACTTGAAGCAGCTTTGTTTACCATTAATGCAATGCAGTTAAAACTTGTAAATCTTCACTCATGAAGTTTTTTCTTTTTTAAAAATTATTATTTATCTTTTCTTTTTCTTTTTTTTCCCCGGGCAAAGGAAATGTATGTTTTGTCTGCACTGTAACAGTGACCTGCTGGCTGTGGATGTACTCTGGTGGACCGTGCCTGATAGCTGCTCTGCATTCCTGGCCAGACTGGGCGGGTCGGCGGGTCAGCGGGTCGGCGGGCTCTGGGCGCTCCAGGGATTCGATGTGACATGACAACACTATTAGGTTGTGCTCAGATCCGACTAGTTGGCCTGCAGCAGTAGGTGCAGCTTCTCAGGCTGTCCCGATCCGTGCTGCCCTCATTGCTTCCACGACGGCCATCCTCGTAGTTAGACACTGGATGTTAGAGCAGAGCACGGATTATTCTGGGGTCTGAGATTATCCATGGTTGATGTAAGAGCTTGAGTCTGTCTGTTCAAAGTAAGTGTAAATTGGCCTAATCCAGCTAGCTCTTCCTCCTAATTCTACACCCACATCATATAGGGCTGATGATAGAAATAGGCAAGATTTCCAATTGTACCAGATTCACATCTCATGACAAATCAGTGTGGTTGTATGACTGAAAACCTTATCGCAAACATCATAAATTATTGTGAACTTACATTTTCTTCCTAAATAAGGAAGAAATTTTGTCTAAAATAAAATAGTTTGTTTTTGGTTTAATTGCAGCTGATAATTACAGTAACTATGATATTATTATATACATATTAAACTCATCTCCTTTGACATGAAAATTCACACAATTTCTAAAAACGTACACCTTGAATCACCTAAATTTTCCTGGGAAAAAATTGAATTTCCATATGTTCATTCACTATGAACTGCTAACTTACAGCTCTCCTCCTCGCCATTCCCCAAATCGTCATCCTCCTCCTCCTCTTCCTCTGGGAGCAGATGTCCATGGCAGGGGCTGGTGGGAGTAATCTGACTGGGTCCCTCGAGACTAGTGCCCAGCTGCAACTTCCGCATGTGGCGCACCACTGCTGTGGCATTAAATGCTTGCTACATGGAGAGAGGGAAGAGTGGAAGGGGAAAAAAATTGTAAGAACCTTCTGTGTCTGACAGCTACTGAAGGAGAAAAACAGTTAAGCCGTACAAAATGAAACTCCTGGCAATCTTAATACACCTCTTCCCACAGGGTGCTGCGTGATTCAGCCGAGGAACTGACCTTCCATTTACTTTTGGCAAAGTTCTTCTTGATTTGTGCGCTGACAGATTCGTGGATATTCTTATCCAGAGCTGTGTCACCACATATCCTGAAAGTCACCAAGAATTGGAGAAATTACAGGAATTTTAGGCACATGACTGAGACATCATATTGTAAACAGTTAGCATCATTCATGGCTAAGCATTACTTCACTGAAGCATAAGCCAATCTGTAGAACACTGATCTGCTGATCTGCAATGTAGAAATGTTTCTTTGGGCTTTTCCCAAACATCTGACAATGCACAATCAAAGAGATGAGTCAGCTAAAGCAATCAGTTATATGCACACTGACAGTAAGAAAAAACAATAAACAATATTGCAGTCAATAACTGATTGATTGTTGTATCTTGCGATATTAAAGAAGCCGAAATGTCACCCCTGAGAAACCAGAAAAATTAAAAAAATAAAATAAAACAAATATATAAATAAAAACTTGAAAACATTTTCAGACTGCTGCTTATGACATTATAGCAGCTACATATAGATCCAGTATTTTAGCTTTCCTACCATGGATGCTGGAGCGCCTGCTCACATGTGTATCTTTTCAAAGGGTCTTTTTCCATCAGGTGACAGATGAAGTCTTTGGCTGCCAACGAAATTTAAGTTCATGTAAAAATAATAATCTCATTTGTTGCTATTTATGTATATTTTTAATCTGTATTTGTAGTAGACATTTCATGGTTACCTGAATCTGAGATGTCATCCCAGTATGGAGAGTCAAATTCATATTCTGCTTTCAGAATCTGCTCAAACAACTTGGCGTCATTCTCATCGTAAAACGGAGGATAGCCACATAAGCTGTAGAAACGACATTGGATTTTACTTAATGTAAGAAACCCCCTCCAAACGCTCTCTATACTTCTCAGGGATAAATAAACTGCGACTTACAGAATATAAGAAATTACTCCTATGGACCAGCAATCCACTGCTTTACTGTATGGCTTCTGAGCGAGCACCTCAGGAGCTGCAGTCAACATTCACAGAGTGAGAAAGTATAGAGACAGAGCAACGGTGAGGATGAATTCAAGTAATCTTGACCTTTCAGTAATACTATGTGATCTGCCAGGTCATGTTAAACAGGTAGAGAGCACTTC